AACGCCATCGGAACCAAAACTTCAAAGCCACCAGAAGAGAAAAGGCAGAAATCAAACGACAAGAGAGAAAGGCTCAATAAAACTGACCTCATCCTCCACCAACATTATTATGTAGTCAATGCCATCGGCTCTTCCACACAAGAATTGGTCAACTTAGTCATCAACACCATCATCATAAAGAAAACGATCAGAAAAGAAGAAATTAAATTCTTTGATAAGGGATAAGCCGATAAGGCTAATTTTTCGTGATGGGAATAAATTTCCAGTGTTTGAATTTTCATTCTGTATAAAACTATTTTTGAATAATAAGTAAAATATATTGGAATTGCGAGACTTTTAAATACTTTGGTAATTTCTGGGACAACATGTAAAAACATAACGAAATGTTTATTCATAAACTCGCGTAGAAACATGATGCCAATATTAAAAAAATGTCGACATTGAATAAGCCAATAAGGGTTGATAAGCCGTAAAATCTATCAGCCCAAACCAAATTATTTTTTCATCAGTTCGTAGTTGGCTTATCACGTATCCAAAATTTAATTTCTTCTTTGTTGATTGTTTCCTGTATGATGATGGCGTTGATAACTACATTCACCGCCAACTTTCAGGTTCAGGACAGGAAGATTCCAATTTCACCAAAACGTGCTCCCGTCATCCATTCCCTAACACCGTTTGGCTTTTCAAGAGTTGGTTGAAAGTGAAAGAACATCAGAGTAGAAGAAAGTGCCGATGTCGTAAAATTGTTGAAGGTGGACCTCAACTTGCGAGGAAGTGACCCACACACTTGATTTCATGACCTTTCTTAGGCGGCACATATGGAATGATTAAATGCGGAATCCAGGTATGGAACTGGAACGGATTGCCGTTGACTTTTATAATTTCAGGTGGAGCCAACTGCAACATGTCCGTCATGCGTAGCCGTCTTCATCCGCTGGTTCAACCGTTGAGATATATTGTAATCATCATCCGCTTGTTCCATCGTTGGAGTGTTTGGGATTGTTCGCGCTTAGTCTGGATCTTCTGCTTCGATCTTAGATAAACCATTATTAATCTTTCATCATCTTTTTAGATGCTTTTGCAAGAGTTAGTGCCGATGACGTGATTTTGTTTAAGGTGTATCATAATATCCCCTATCTGTTTATGTTTGAGCGCATATATATATATATATATATATATATATATATATATATATATATATATATATATATAAAGACACTTCAATATGGGTTCAAACGTGAGATCGTCGGAACTAAAAACAGTCGCATAAACTTACATAGACTAATCGTTCAAAAACAATATATCGACATTCGAAAGTACACGGAATATATATATATATATATATATATATATATATTTTATATATATATATATATATATATATATATATATATATATATTATAAATTAATTGATTTAAAATATGGTTTTTCGCTACACAGTTCTAACCATGTTTCAAAAATGGAAGCTAAAAGCTTCGAATTTAATTTTAATTTTGTAATTAAATTAAAGACATTAGTTCCATTTTATCCTCAAGCGAATTTTGGAGTAACTTATTTCTCAAATTACTGGGTTTTAAAGGCACTGCAAAAATTCATAATTCACGTTTCCAAGGATACAGAGAAATCCATTCATCCAGACAGAGGGGTGGTTGCGTGTTCATTATCGCTGTATTTTGATGTATCAGTTATTAGTTACGTTTTGGTAGGGGTAGGGATGTATTTTTCAATGAATTCTGACATCCGTTAAATGCATGTCATCTTGATTTAAAAAAAAAAAAAATTATGTTAACGGCGAAAATTCTTACAGCATTTTTTTCTATTTGTATACTTAAAGATTTTTTTTGGATGTTTCGGTTAGAATACGTTTTATTTAACTACGCTTTTAAAAATATTTTCACTTTTAATTTTTAATATACTATATTTCTTTTAAGAACAAGTAAAAGTATTAGAATTACTTACAGTATGTAAAATTATTTTCATATCAAGTATAAGTATGTATATTACCAGGTCACAATTTTTTTTTTTAAATTTATATTTAAATATTATTTAAGTAAAATTTATGACAATGGCGGCCAAAATAGCTAATTCATTTCTCTGATTTAGTAAAGTTTTATTTTTTATAAACCTGCCAAGACAACAACGACCTTAAAAAAAATGTTAAATTGAATGAAATCGGCTAAGCCGCATGTCCAAACACGTCGGGTGCAAAAAAGAAAATAATAATAAAATATAAAATTAAACGAAAAAACTTTAAATTTAGATTTGCCACATCATCATTTTTTCCCTTCGGTTCCTAACAGTCGTTCAGGTTTCTATCTCCTTTACAAATCACTTCCTTCCTTAGGAACCTTACGTACCATTGGTGATGCATACTTAAGTGATCATGTCTCTTTTTAATTCAAGATTGATTTGAATGAAGAATTCACGCCGAAGGCAGTCGTTATTTTCTGCGGTAGAACGGTTGCCAAGCAAGGCTACAAGAACAAGTCTTTTCTGCTATTTAACACATAGCTGGGCAGAGAAGAGATATAATATAAATATATACCTTTTCCAGTGGTATTTGAAGTGAATATAAGTGAATGTGATGAACTTGTCTCTCAAATTTTCTCATTATCACACCACTCGCACATCCAATCTTACAGCACCTGGTATTCCCAAGCGGTCACTCATCTAAATACAGACCAGGATCAATATGGCTTCGGTGATCGTACTAGAACTTGTATTTCAAGGTGTTGCGGTCGTAATTCCATCAATAAGAACATTGCTTTAGTCCGATCAATTCCTTTCAGAGTTTCTTAGAATGTTTTTTTTCACTTTGTCACTCAATTGCTTAAATAGACGTGCGATGAAGGAACTGTCAGAAATTCTCAGTGAAGAGTTTCAATTCAGTTCATTGCGAAGATCTGATCCTAAATTTCGTTCATAGTTCAGAGATTTGTTTGCCAGATGACCAAAAATAACGGAAATATCCCAACCCGGAATTTTCAGAGCGGATAGTAAATTATTTCTCCTTCATCACACCAATAAATACAGGAAATTAAATTCGGTGACTGAGAGAGATGCTATTAGATTAAATGCCAGATCAGAACAGGATAATTTAATAAATGGATCTGAACACATTAATTATGCCGGATATAAGGTTAAAATGATCGCTTGATAAACACATACATACATACGTATACATAAATATATATATATATATATATATATATATATATATATATATATATATATATATATATATATGCACATCAAAGAAAAGCTTAACACATCTCGAAAACACGGTTATAAATCATGAGTTATTTCGACGAATAAGTTATTAATTACGACTATATATATATATATATATATATATATATATATATATATATATATATATATGAATATATATGTATATACCTCGGCTTAAGTTTTTTCGAGTTAAGTCATTTTCGAAGATACGTCGTTTTTTTTTTTATTAAATATTATATGGGAAAATAAAACCCGTCTTAGGACGTTTTACTCTAGTTTACGTCGGCCGTTAAAAATATTAGAAACGTCAAAGTACTAAAATATTTAAAAAATAACATTATGTATACTATACTCTCACACACACAAACACACACACACACACATATATATATATATATCATCATCATCATCATCACAAATAAAAAGTAGCATAATAATGTATGTTCAACAGATATTCTTATTTCAAATATATAATATATATTAAAGTAAAAACAAAATGGTTGTTTGAACCAACTGAGAAACAGGGAAACAAGAAAAATGAAAAAAAAAAGTCAAATATTTATCTACCTACCCAGCAAAATATAGTGTCCAACGCCAAGTTTACCGAGACAGAGAAATACATGTTTCACAAAGTTAACTCCTATCAAAATATGACCCGAATCGTCACACGAGTTTCACGCTGACGCGATCTTCAGGCGATTTGAAAGTCATCGGAAGATCGCCGGAATGTGAAACTCAGGTTACGACACGGCCATATATATATATATATATATATATATATATATATATATATATATATATATATATATATATATATGAAGAAAAAATATACGGAAAAAACAAACAAAAATCAATCCTTATATGTAATTATGCTGTTTTAATGTTAATATGTCAACGTCGGACGTTTCGGTCTAATAAACCATCTTCATTAATTAACATTATCAATTCAACATGACAAAGACGAAAAATGTTGAATTGATAATGTTAATTATATTTATGAATATTTGCTGCGGAATAACTATGAATGGAATATTTATTTTTCTTGATTACTGCGCACGCAATATAGTTCCCTTGCGCAGTAATTGAGACAAGCTGAGACGTGCAATAACAGTAAAAATAAGGCCGTTAACTAAGTTCTTCCGCGCTTACCTTTCCACAGAGAAAGTATGCAAACGACGCCAGTAATGGCTGCCACCAACGACGCGAATGAATCTGAACTTTTACTGTCGGTAGATTTTATCAAATTTATCAAGTCATTTTCGAATGAAGCATTTACATTTACACCTAAATGTAAGTATTCGGGAAATTTTTAATGCAAACTGAGCGTGGGTTCTAACCTGCAAATTAACTAATATTTTTTATTATTAAAGAATTGTTTGTTGTTTTCTATTCGTTTTGCTAATTTTATTCTGAATGTTTTTATATCGGATTTGAAAACAATTTTCCTAGTCAGTATCTAGATGGATGACCGCGTTGTAAATGTTGTAATCTGAAGGTGGTGTAATGAATAACGGCTCTGTATAAGAAATCGGAGAGCCTGGTTCGATTTCCTATCGTATTCGTTATATTTCCTTACATGCAGACACTTTTGGGCGATCATGAATTAAAAAGAGAGATGTCACACCCGTCCCTACCAACACGCTTTGGGCCAGAGCGGTAGGGTAATGGTCCATTCCTCCCCATGAGTCTGGAGAAGGCCTACGCCGTGCAAAACACCGTCATAGGCTGAGAAAGAAAAAAAGAGAGAACTAAAAAAGGTAAGAGAGACAGTAGGAACGAAAGAGAAAGTAAGAAAGGGAGATAAAGTAAGGGAGAAAGTAAGAAAGAGAGATAAAGTAAGGGAGAAAGTAGAAAGAAAGAAAGAAAGAAAGAGAGATAAGGTAAGAGAGAAAGTAAGGACGAAAGAGAAAGAAAGAAAGAAAGAAAGAAAGAAAGAAAGAAAGAAAAAAAGAAAGAGGGATAAGGTAAGAGAGAAAATAGGAACGAGAAAGAAAGAAAGAAAGAAAGAAAGAAAGAAAGAGAGATAAGGTAAGAGAGAAATTAGGAAAGAAAGAGAAAGAAAGAAAGAGGGATAAGGTAAGAGAGAAAGTAGGAACGAAAAAGAAAGAAAGAAAGAAAGAAATATAAGGTAAGAGAGAAAGTAGGGACGAAAGAGAAAGAAAGAAAGAGGGATAAGGTAAGAGAGAAAGTTGTAACGAAAGAGAATGAAAGAGAGATAAGGTAAGAGAGAAAGAAAAAGAAAAATATGATTTGTTTTATCTCGTTTCAATAGGATGACGTCTATGTACACAGATATTTCTTTGTAATTTTTTTTTTTTTGCTTATTTTATTCTGAATGTTTTCGATATTGGATTCGTAAACAATTTTCTAAAACGGAAAAATACTTTGTTAATGGAATTTTATTTTAAAATTTTAAGAATTTATACGAAATATGAAACAAAATAATCGCATAGAACGTTGTTAAAAACAGAATGCGCCCAGAGGTGAGATGTTGGAATCAGCCAACATTAATAACAGCCATTTTGTAATTAAAAGAAATAAAAACTTGCTCACAAAACTCCACGCTTCTTTGCCTTTTAACATTTGTTTTTTATTTTGTTTTGATCAAGTCAAGCGGCTCTCTATGCGGGCTTTCGTAGAGAAATAAATCAGTGCTCGCGTTGAACAAAACATTCTCCGAGGGACCCAAAAACGAAGATCAAAATAATGAATCTCTCTTACATGGGTTTTCTGCCATATTGAAAAAAAAAATTGTCCGGAATCAGCATCAAGCACATATAAAGCAGGGCGGGCACATTCATGAGAATTTTTTTTGTAAGCATACTGCGAATTTCATTTCAATTTTGACAATACCTGAGCCTTGTATAAAATAATGGCTAAGTTGTATTTAATAATAATAATAATAATAATAATAATATGTGCATAGCATAGTGTTTTTGGCACGCAAATTAGTATTTTCGGGCCGAGTTCAAATGCCAGGCAATATCGTTGCGTTTATTTACACTTGGAATAATATGAAGCCATTTCTCTCCCCGACAAGATTTTAATACAGGATGCACAATTAAAAAGCGGGAAATTTATATTTCGATAAAATACATCAGCTCTAATTTGTCCATCTCAGTGGCCCTCTAAAAGCCCAGATCTAAATGTTATAGATAAATGTATCTAGAGTATACTACTAAGACACTTGCAAAACCGTCGACGTGAAGTGGAACTTAACTGAAGCTTGGAATGAAATTCTTTTTGACTCTATCCGAAAAGCTACTGCCTCGTGGTTACCACGCTTACAACTTTGTGTTGAAAATTTAGGCAAACATTTCGAACATCCACGATGCTTGTTCAGCTTGTGTATGAATTCTAAGAGCTAAATAAATTTCTTTCTGAATTTACCTCTTTTTTTACTGGGCACTCTGTAGATTCGCAACCAGTATTTAAGTAGAACAAATCTGAATCCCAAACTGGTTGAGGCTTAAAAATGGGTTCTTGAAGAAGGAAAATCAATTGATGCTCTGTACAGCACAAGAGAAACTTTAAGAACAAATTCCATGAAGAACTCTCTTGATGGAACAGGTGATTTACTCTTCTGCAGGCTGAGCTGCAAAGATACTGAAAATGTGTAACACATTGTCAGTAGCTGTACTCAGCTGAGAGAAAAGAGTACAGACGACGCCATGAGAATGTAGCCTTCAGAATACATTGCAAACTATGAAGGAAGTGTGGCCTCAAGTGCGCAGAGAAGTGATACGAGCATTCACCACCGTCACATCTCGTGTGACTGACAAGCACTTGGAGGGAAATCGCCCTGATGAGACACTTGTTCCCAAGAGCAGTCATAAATGCATCTTGATAGACGTTGTGTGACAAGATGTTCTTGGGGTAAGAACATATTGAAGGTGGAGAAAGCGATAATAGGGAGGTATCAAGGATTGACGGAGCAAATAAGATAAATATATCAAAAGCTTCTCATGTTGTCCCTTTTGTGCTTGGCGCAGTAGGATCTATTTCCAGGACTCTTTCTACTATGAGCGATGCTTGGGAATACCTGAAATAATTAGGAGTGCGAACGTGGTAGCACTGCTTGGAAAATGTAATGTTCTGAAGAAAGTGTTGAGTCTCTAATAATACGATATTAAAAGAACACTTGATTTACCCTTGTGCAGGCTGTATAGAAAAGCTAGTGAAAGTGTGTAACACGTTGTCAGTGGCTCTACTCAGCAACTACAAAAAACATACAGACGCACCATAAAAAGACACCTTCAGAATACATTGGTAACTATGCAGGAATTATAGCTTCAAGTGCGCAGAGAAATAGTGCGAGCATTCACTGCCGTCAGTAGCCGAGAATGAGCAAGTGAAGGACACGTGTGGTCCGGCCGTCTTGACTGACAAGCGATTGGAGAGCAATCGCCCTGACATCACACTTGTGTGCAAGAACAACTGGATCCTGACAGACATTACGTACCTTGCGATAAGAACATCGTGAATGTGGAGCGGACGAAAATACCGGAGTACTAAGACATGGCAGGGCGAATTGGAGAAATATAGCAAGCAAATCGCAGCACTTGAAATTGTCCTTTTTGCGGTTGATGAGCTCACGACTATCTCCACGTGTCATTCTTCTTCCCAGGATGCTTTGTGGGCACCCAACATCGCTGGGAGTGCGCAGATGGCAGTACTGCTTGGAACAGCTCATGTGCTGAGAAAAGCGTTTTCTTTTTCTCTCAGGTGCGGTAAGTGCTCAGATATGGTCAATGTATCGAAACATCTGAGTCGGAGAGATTATCAATAATAATAATAATAATAATAATAAACAAAATGACTGACGTAACTCTTCCAATATATTTCAACACTTGGAGAAGAACGAGATTTCGGAAAAGAAAAAGAAAAAGTGAAAAGGCAGTGTTTAACAATGTTCGAAAAATATTTCGACAGTATATCTGTCTTCTTCAAGTTAAGTTTAAAAAATAAGTGTTAATAAGTATAAAAATATTTGTTTTAAATTCCGTTAGTTGATTAGTTACTAAGAGAGAATAATCAAACAGTTATTTGATTAATGCATTCATTCGTTTTGACGCATTGATTACCAGTACATTCGTTTTCCTCAAGCGTCGTTTGTCCAAAACATAATTTTTTGTAGATTTTTTTTATTTCTTTATATATGTAAATCATTTTTGTTGAAGCTTGGATAAGCATGGAATAATAATAATACAACACAAAATGTACGTAAACAAAATGTATTGAAACAAGGAAAAGGTACACAATATTTACAGTTAGTTTGGTATATTCGTGGGAAGACTGTTCCTGTAGAATGGGTTGACTTAATCGCAGTCGGGCAGTCTCTGGATTGGATCTCTTCTTACTTCCTCCATCGTCTTCCCGGTACCAACCCATATTTCTATGGTCGGTACTCCACTATGTAAATTAGGTGGATCGTACCACAACACCCTCCTCCCAAGCCTTGGAATCCCTTTTGGATTTCAAATTGGCTTCCTATATGGGTTGATGGTTATGGCTATTTCTTTGTAGATCCATTTGCCTAATTTTAATATTTTTTCCGTTTTGGATTCACGTCCAATGGATCTCATCCTCCTCGCCATTGTTGAAGCTTGGATAAGCATGGAATAATAATAATAATACAACACAAAATGTACGTAAACAAAATGTATTGAAACAAGGAAAAGGTACACAATATTTACAGTTAGTTTTGGTATATTCTTGGGAAGACTGTTCCTGTAGAATGGGTTGACTTAATCACAGTCGGGCAGAGTCTCTGGATTGGATCTCTTCTTACTTCCCCCATCGTCTTCCCGGTACCAACCCATATTTATATGGTCGCTACTCCACTATGTAAATTAGGTGGATCGTACCACAGCAATTTTTTATACATAACTTGAAGAAGACATGCTGTTAAAATATTGTTGAACTTTATCAAGCACTGTGTTTTTTTGTCTTTTCTTAAATCGCGTTCTTCTCTAAGTAGGAATTATAATAATAATGATGATTATGGTGATGATAATAATAAAAATAATAATAATATGCGTGTTTTGAGTTTTTTTTTCAATTGGTCAGTGGAAAATGCCATGATGCCATTTCTAACCTTAAGTCTCTGGACAGGACCCGGAAAGAAATGTGTACACGCCAGAAATCAAAGGAAAAATAATAATAATAATAATAATAATAATAATAACTGAAAAATGGTATGAGCACCAACCAGACACAGTTACCCAAAATAACGATTTAACTATTCACTCATTGACGTACGCAAACACACACACACACACACACACACACACACACTGACGCTCACTCACTGGAGCTCACAGAAACATAAACCCAGGGTCAAAAACTCACATCGACCCAAGTAAATATGTTAGCACTATCACTGATATTGAGCACTTTCCAATAAGTAACACTCCACCTTAACCAACGGTATTAATTATAAAAATTCGAAATAGGATATGGGAAGAGTGTGTTGCGCCAGACAGCTAAGTAATAAAATCCTCACGTTATTGAAAAGTGGTCATCAAACGTCAACAAAGTGTGGCGCATTAGGTTGCCGTTCCAATTTGTTAAGCCCCGTGTCCTTGTCTTTTGTTATCCATTTGACGATCCTAATGGGCCTCTTGTTGTCTCGGCGACGGGCTATAATCCATTTGGCGTGCCAAACGGATTGTATCTGAAGGTTCCTGTTTGACTGCTCACTCAGCTGTTGTGTTTTCTGTTTCGGAATTTAATGCCTGTTATTAGCCTTTTCATCTTTCTCATGATTAGGCTAAATATCTTTGTTTGTTGCTTATTATCCGGATACGTCCTAACTGGTAGGAAACATCCTTGAAACCACCTTCCATTGTCCGAGTTCTTTTAACAATTTTCAAGAAGCATGAAGTCTCCGATACACTTGTTAGCGGTTCGTGCCTCGAGACAGGCATGATTTTTTTTTTTTTTATTTACACTATTTACATTGATCGTGCTGTTGTCCTCATCTTTATTGTCATATTCACGACGTTTCGGACATTTTGTGCTCCGGCCTTCTTCCGGATATATACGTTGGAATTTCGAACCGAAATCTTTATTTCGTCCACTGGTGTAGATTGTTCTAGTTCCACGTGCCATGCCTTTTTTGGATATCTCGGTTTCAGTTTATTTTCCTTTAGTAACTCAACTCTCCAAGTTTTTGTTCACCTCTGCTGTGGCCAGGTATTGAACTCACAACACTTTGGATCAAGTCACTGGATGATGTCACGACAGAGGTGAACTCACTACTCATGTAGCGAAACAAG